TTTTGTTTAATAAATGTATGAAAGAGGGGAAGGTACCAAAGGGATTGGCAGAGAGCATGTATAGTCCCTTTATATAAAGGGAAAGGGGAAAAAAAAAAAGATTGTAAAAATTATAGAGGTTTAAGTTTACTGAGTATACCGGGAAAAAAGTATCGGTAGGGTTATAATTGAAAGAATTAGAGGTAAGAACAGAATTTTAGGATTGCGGATAGCAGGGGGAGGCTTCAGAGTGGGGTAGGGGATGTGTTAGATCAAGTGTTTACATTGAAGCTTATATGTGAACAGTATTTAGATAAAGGGTTTAGGGAAGTTTTATTGCATTTTGGATTTAGAAAAGGCATATGATAGAGTGGAAGAGGAGCAATGTGGCATATGTTGCAAGTATATGGAATAGGTGGTAAGTTACTAAATGCTGTAAGAGTTTTTATGAGGATAGTGAGGCTCAGGTTAGGGTTTTGTGAGAAGAGAGGGAGAATATTCCGGTAAAAAGTAGGTCTTAGACAGGGATGTGAAATGTCACCATGGTTGTTTTATTATTATAGATGGGGTTGTAAAAGAAGTAAATGCTAGGGTGTTTGGGAGAGGGGTGGGGTTAAATTACGGGGAATCAAATTCAAAATGGGAATGACACAGTTACTTTCTGCTGTTGATACTGTGCTTATGGGAGATTTAAAGACAAATTGCAAAGGTTAGTGGATGAGTTTGGAATGTGTGTAAGGTAGAAAGTTGAAAGTGAACATAGAAAGAGTAAGGTGGGTGAGGGTATCAAATGATTTAGATAAAGAAAAATTGGATATCAAATTGGGGAGGAGGTATGGAAGAAGTGAATGTTTTCGATTCTTGGGAGTTGACGTGTCGGCGGATGGATTTATGAAGGATGAGGTTAATCATAGAATTGATGAGGGAAAAAAGGTGAGTGGTGCGTTTTGAGGTATATGTGGAGTCAAAAAACGTTATCTATGGAGGCAAAGAAGGGAATGTATGAAAGTATAGTAGTACCCAACACTTTATATGGATGTGAAGCTTGGGTGGGTAAATGCCCGCAGCGAGGGGGACGGTTGGAGGCAGTGGAGATTGTCCCGTTTAAGGGCAATGTCTGGTGTAAATATTATGCAGAAAATTCGGAGGGGGTGGAAATTAGGAGAAGGTTGTGGAGGTTAATAAAAGCATCAGTCGAGGGGCAGAGAGGGGGTTGTTTGGGTGGGGTTTTGGTCATTTAGAGAGAATGGATCAAAGTAGAATGACATGGAAAGCATATAAATCTATAGGGGAAGGAAGGAGGGGTTTGGGTCGTCCCCCAAAAGGGTTGGAAAAGAGGGGGTAAGGGAGGTTTTGTGGGAGGGGGCTTGGACTTCCCAAAAGCGTGACGAGCGTGTTAGATAGGAGTGAATGGAGACGAATGATACTGGGAACCTGACGATCTGTTGGAGAATGTGGCAGGGTAATATTTAGTGAAGGGATTCAGGGAAACCGGTTATTTTCATATAGTCAGACTTGAGTCCTGGAAATGGGAAGTACAATGCCTGCACTTTAAAGGAGGGGTTTGGGATATTGGCAGTTTGGAGGGATATGTTGTGTGTCTTTATACGTGTGTGCTTCTAAACTGTTGTATTCTGAGCACCTCTGCAAAAACAGTGATAGTGTGTGAGTGGTGGAAGTGTTGAATGATGATGAAAGTATTTTCTTTTTGGGGATTTTCTTTCTTTTTTGTTTCACCCTGCCTCAGTGGGAGATGGCCGACTTGTTGAGAGAGAAGAAATTTGTAATATTTATTCGCAAAAAAAAAATATGAGATTTACTGTTATTCCTTATTGCAATAATTGTATAATGTCAACCCATTCAAGACTGCATATTGGAATGGACAGTGACATCATTTGTTTACTCTGAAACAGCCAAGCAATAGACCATTTCTCCTAGGTTGAGCTCAATTTCAAGGCACTTTTCATCGTGAAAGCAATCAAAATCATATCTATTTCTGTAATATATCTTCCATTCATTTTTGGTGTACGTTAAGAAGCATCTTTCCATCATACATTGCCCAAGTCTCAGTAAGATAGTCCAACAAACAAATGAGATACAGTTCCTGAGAGCAAGAGCCACTCACCAGTGTCAAGGAACCTGCCTTGAGGTCTGCTCGCTCATGGAAATTTTGCTCGCGTATGGAAGCAAAAAATCGACCCATCGACTGCTCATATTTGGAAAAACTCGCACGTGGACACGCTCGCAAGTAGAGGTTCCACTGTACTGAGAAAATATGGTGGACTAATTACCTGGAGAGAGTTCCGGGGGTCAACGCCCCCGCGGCCCGGTCTGTGACCAGGCCTCCTGGTGGATCAGAGCCTGATCAACCAGGCTGTTGCTGCTGGCTGCACGCAAACCAACGTACGAGCCACAGCCCAGCTGATCAGGAACTGACTTTAGGTGCTTGTCCAGTGCCAGCTTGAAGACTGCCAGGGGTCTGTTGGTAATCCCCCTTATGTGTGCTGGGAGGCAGTTGAACAGTCTCGGGCCCCTGACACTTATTGTATGGTCTCTTAACGTGCTAGTGACACCCCTGCTTTTCATTGGGGGGATGGTGCATCGTCTGCCAAGTCTTTTGCTTTCGTAGTGAGTGATTTTCGTGTGCAAGTTCGGTACTAGTCCCTCTAGGATTTTCCAGGTGTATATAATCATGTATCTCTCCCTCCTGCGTTCCAGGGAATACAGGTTTAGGAACCTCAAGCGCTCCCAGTAATTGAGGTGTTTTATTCCGTTATGCGCGCCATGAAAGTTCTCTGTACATTTTCTAGGTCGGCAATTTCACCTGCCTTGAAAGGTGCTGTTAGTGTGCAGCAATATTCCAGCCTAGATAGAACAAGTGCCCTGAAGAGTGTCATCATGGGCTTGGCCTCCCTAGTTTTGAAGGTTCTCATTATCCATCCTGTCATTTTTCTAGCAGATGCAATTGATACAATGTTATGGTCCTTGAAGGTGAGATCCTCCGACATGATCACTCCCAGGTCTTTGACGTTGGTTTTCGCTCTATTTTGTGGCCAGAATTTGTTTTGTACTCTGATGAAGATTTAATTTCCTCATGTTTACCATATCTGAGTAATTGAAATTTCTCATCGTTGAACTTCATATTGTTTTCTGCAGCCCACTGAAAGATTTGGTTGATGTCCGCCTGGAGCCTTGCAGTGTCTGCAATGGAAGACACTGTCATGCAGATTGGGTGTCATCTGCAAAGGAAGACACGGTGCTGTGGCTGACATCCTTGTCTATGTTGGATATGAGGATGAGGAACAAGATGGGAGCGAGTACTGTGCCTTGTGGACAGAGCTTTTCACCGTAGCTGCCTCGGACTTTACTCTGTTGACGACTACTCTCTGTGTTTGTTAGTGAGGAAATTATAGATCCATCGCCCGACTTTTCCTGTTATTCCTTTAGCACGCATTTTGTGCGTTATTACGCCATGGTCACACTTGTCAAAGGCTTTTGCAAAGTCTGTATATATTACATCTGCATTCTTTATGTCTTCTAGTGCATTTAGGACCTTGTCGTAGTGATCCAATAGTTGAGACAGACAGGAGCGACCTGTTCTAAACCCATGTTGCCCTGGGTTGTGTAACTGATGGGTTTCTAGATGGGTGGTGATCTTGCTTCTTAGGACCCTTTCAAAGATTTTTATGATATGGGATGTTAGTGCTATTGGTCTGTAGTTCTTTGCTGTTGCTTTACTGCCCCCTTTGTGGAGTGGGGCTATGTCTGTTGTTTTTAGTAACTGTGGGACGACCCCCGTGTCCATGCTCCCTCTCCATCCAGTAAAAGAGAACTAACCAGAAGTGTTTGGAATATTTACCCTGCCAAGCACTCACCAATACCAGTAGTAGGAAGGACAAAGAACTAAAGAGCTGTATAAACATTGCTGTCTATGTGAAGGTTCCACCTTTGCTGCACTCTGATATCCTAATTAACCAGCATCCTTTCACACAAAATTCAACACCTCCGAGTCTTCCCTCTTCTCCTCTGGCATGCGGCTATGTATGACCCTTAAGAAACAACAACATGGCCTTACTGCCTTAATGCCCATGAAGGGCTCTTGATTCAAAGAATTAGAGCTATCCTCCCCTTCCTTGGTTCAAGCCTGGTGGCCTCCCATTTCCCCAGGTGCTGTATGATCTCTACAAGTTTAGTACTCCCCTTCATGAATGTAACAATACCATACCATACCACTGTTTCACAAATACTAGTTAAGACTATCTCAGAAGCCTAATAAGAGATCTTCTCACATACTGACACAAATAAGAAAGAAAAGGATGAGCAGACTGAATTTCACTAGAACTCACCCCTCAAAGGAGGTTCCTTGATGCCAATAAGCAACTCTTGATCCAAGGAATTGGACTTCTCTTCCTACCTTGGATCAAACCCTGAATGATTCCCATTCCCCTATCAAGTCATTAAACATAATCTCATAATATGATCAAAGAAAATCAGGGGTGAACATAGATCATAGAATGTTACAGCTCTGCCTAAGTTGTCTTGCTGTGTGCCAGACACTAAACACCATAATTTAACTGTACAGCAGAGTATACAAAATTACAATATATCATCCCTCAGGGGAGGTTCCTTGATGCTGGTGAAGGGCTCTTGATCTAGGGAATTGGATCTGTGATCTGGTTCCCTGAATTGAGCCTGAATACCTTCCATTCCCCCCCACATGTGCTGAATAATCCTATGGGTTTAGCACTCCCCCATGATTATAATAATAATATAATAATAATAATAATGCAATATATCAATAGTCATGCTGAGTGAAAATTTTTGAGTTGGTGCTTTCCATGATTATAATACTGTATACCTTTACCTTTGATGGGTTTCAAGAATTTTCCTACCCCCAAAGCCTGGCCCTGGGCCAGGCTTGACTGATCAATCAGACTGTTGCTGCCAGCAGCCCAATGGCCCACATATGCATCACAGCCTGATTAGTACACATAATAACCAAGAGGTCATGGAACACTTACAATTACACAGTTTTTTCCTATGTACACATAAGATCCTACTACAGCAGCATTGACGATTGATCCCTCACCAATAAACACTTGATCACCAATGTGGAGAGGGAAAAATGCCACACTGAAAAACAAAATGAATATAAATTTAGAAAACAAAAAAATATGTATAGTATGTACTTAAAATATAGTAGTTTACTGAATTCTTAATTGGCATAACTAATGTAAGTTCAAATTTGCTTTATTAGTTTCATAATACAACAATATATTGTAATAAAGTTCAACTTACCCCTTGTGCAGGAGTAGACTTAGGGATCACCTTCTCTGCCTAACTTACCCCTTGCTGAACTTTTTGAATGGTGGTCTAATGACAGCTTTAGATGATATAACACAATGCCGGCCAACTCTGACATTGGCTAAATCCCCTCGGATGATCACACCACTAAGTACAATCACTTTTCCGCTCAACACAATGTTCTGGGAGCCACATAACACACTCCCACGACTGACACGGTTTCCAGTAGCCTGTGGAATTTATGTTAATTATCAGTAACAGTGTAAGAAACCATATATGAAAGATAATTTGCATACTGTATACCAATTTTTAAACTTCTCAAGAGATACTATATGAAAATATTTACCTTTATGATTATAATAATAATAACAAAGACCAACTTATTACAAAAAAAAAAATATTTTGTTTGCCATTGTTAAACTAACACTTCCTTTATTTGTTAAAACACATACAAGTTTTACTGAACACCATAAATATTATAAAAATTACTTTATTACAGAAAAATGCCTGCTATTTTCACAGCTCCCCTCAAGAGAGATTTCTTGATGCTGGTGAGGGGCTCTTGATCTAGGGAACTGGATCTGTGCTTTGGTTCCTTAAATTGAGTCTGAATACCTTCCATCCCCCCCAACATGCGCTGTATAATCCTATGGGTTTAGCGCTCCCCCATGATTTTAACAATAATCATAATATTTTCACAGCCGTCATTAAATAACAGTAAGTATTGCAATATCATCATGCCCCTCAAGGGAAGTTCTTTCAAGCTGGTAAGGGGCTCTTGATATAGAGAATTGGATTTGTGCTCCTGTAGCTAGAGTGGTAACATACTCAGCTCACATACTGAGGACCAAGGGCTGATCCTCGGTACGGCTGGAAAATATTAGAACGTGTTTCCATAAGACATCTGCTATCCATGTTTTCACCCATCAGTAAAATGAGTACCTGGGTGTTAGTTGACTGGTGTGGGTTGCATCCTGGGACAAAATTGACCTAACTTGCCAGAAATGCTCTGCATAACAAGGGGGTTTCTATACTGTTGTATGTCAGCTAGGCCTGTATACCTTGTACATGTACTTGCAGAAATAAAGATATGTATTATTATTATTCCCTGAATTAAAACTGAATGCCTTCCATACACCCACAGGCATTGCATAATCCCTCTGGCTTTAGCACTCCCCCATAATGATAATAATAATAATAATAGCATCATCATAACTGTGATTAATGCTTATTATTGCAGCCTGGCCACTGTAAACATAAACAAAGACCGATGAGGCAAAGAACATAAAGATAGATGGAAGAGTAAGGGTAATTGTCCAGGACATACCCAAACATCAAAATTTTCATCTAAGTGAGGGTTTTATTTTTTTTTATTTGTTTCAGCTACAGTATTGAGACCTTTTATTCTTTAACCCCAGTGGTTTAGAACTTAAGTCTTGATTATAACAATAATAATTTATTCTTTACGGTTAGGCTACGTTAGGTTATTTTAGGTAGGGGTAGATGGGTTTTGTCATGTTTTGTTTCTTACCATTACACAACAAAATATCTGAAATGTAAAACAAATTAATATTGTAAAGTTGCAACTTTAATTATTCGCAGAAATCTGCCGAAGAGCAGTCTCCTGTTATTACCTATATATGTTATGTCCATACATACTCTACGTATTAATCAGTGTAAGTTTAATGTAGGATAATTCAATAAAATCAATTTGATTCTTTTCCAGAGAGAACGTGTTGACACTTCTCCCCCAACCCCAAACTTACCATCTTTAAACTTTAAAAACACTTACATCTTACATAGAAAATCACACTTACAGTCTCTATGTACTGAGCTTTGGGGTAAAATGAATCTTCAAGCTCCATTTTGCTCTGAGCAAGACAGCTGTCACCGCCCAGCTGATGAAAGATTGTTATTGTTGGGTTGAAGGGCTGCCTCTGACTCACGAAATCGTAATGACACGATTGCAAACAAACCATACCATGGGAGGGGATAGAACCCGCGGTCAGAGAGTCTCAAAACAACAAGCCGTCACGTTAGCCACTGGACCAGCTAGCCACAATAAGATTCGTCCAACTAGGTATATTTCTAAACCATACGAAGGTCATTACGATTTCGTGAGTCATGTTGACGGCAGTGAAGGGACTTGAGCTAGAGTTCGTCACGGCCACGCTAGCTGGAGATTCATCTGTAAAAACTTGCATTTGTGGTCACAGTGGTGGCCTATGCTAACCTTCCTATGGTGTAGAAATATACCTAGTTGGACGAATCTTATTGTGGCTAGCTGGTCCAGTGGCTAACGCGACGGTCTGAAGTTTTGAAACTCTCTGATCGCGGGTTCTATCCCCGCCCGTGGTATGGTCTGGCTCTGACTCTAATGATGCCCCTCACACTGGCTCCGGTCCTCCACACCAATGTCCAGCTCTTGATCCAAGGGAATTGGACCTAATATTCCCTTCCTTGGATCTAACCTGAGTGTCTGCTATTCCCCAAGGCTCTATATGACCCTTACGTATTTGGCGCTCCCTCATGAATGTACTGATAATAATGGGATCGTAGGAAATCCTAAATGTTGGGTTGAAGGGTTCATAGGACCATACAACTTGTACTAAATAGAACTTCGAATATTATCGATAAGGACCTAAAGAAAGAATATTGTTTATTTAGGTACATTTACACATAAACAAAAATAAACAAGTTCCGGGTGATTACAATTGCTTTACATGGTATCATATGTGTAAATTATGTAGGATAATCCTGATTTTTATATTACAAAACGTTATTACTGCCAGAGAAAGGATAAGCTATGTGCATCCTTGGCTGTACAATTTGCATTGAGATGCCGCTATTATGAAATATAAAGTGAGTGTAGAGAGAGAGAGAGACGCCATACACTGGAACATTATATTTTGGAGTGTCACAACATCCAGTCAAACCCTACAGAGAATAGTAAACCACTTCCTCATTTTAAGAAACCAAGGCTCCATTTGGACAGGATTCAAAACTGTACCTGAGTAATTGTAAAATATTGTAAAATATTTCCTTCTAGCGATGTAACAATGTCCGGTGGAGTCTGACAAAGAACCATTATAACATCTATAATCCTGTTTTTGTACACTGGCTCACAGGATGAACATGGAGTGCACAATGTCATACAGGAGGCATAACTTAAAAAAAAAACTTTACCTAAGTAAATAAATAAGATTATCTATGGACACATAAGTTCAGTTATCATACATAGCAACATAAACACTATGTGTAAATTACCGAGGATAGCCCCAAAAAGTCAAAATGACTTATTACCATTAGGGTCAGGGACTCAAGTGATAATAAGCTCCACTGTTTGACTTTATTGGGTTATCCTGGATTTAATCTACATACTGTAATTTTTGTATGTGTCCTCAAGACCACTGTAAAAACAACTTATATATTATAGAAACAAAAGTTAAATAAAATTAACTTCCGGCTTCACCAGTCCGGCCTCGTATTTAACAAGATTGTTAAGGTGTTATAGTCTGAAAATTCGGAATGTATTTATTAAACTGTGCAAAATATCCTTTGATTATTCCTATAATAAACAAAATACCCATAATGAATTGAAAGTTACAGGAAGACCTGAACGAGCAAGAAGGGAATTAATTTCACTCTAATTATTGGCATCAGAGTGATTAATTAATTAAACAGCTGCCTTTTTAAATTGTTAGAGGCAATATATGAGTCATTACTGGGGGTCACACGGGGTCTTTAACCCCACTGGGTAAACCCCTTTATATTTTATTTTATATTATCTACCAGGTAAACTCCAGGTAAACTATAGTTTTTAATTATAAAGCGTGAGTGGAATCAAAATTTCAGATGTAATGAAGTCATCGAACCATTTCATGCATTACATGCTCTTTACAATGTACTTATTAAATCTACTTAGCACAATATTAGGTTCACTCTGGCAAATGTTTTCCTGGAAAGTGTTTCCTGGAACCTGTGTTCTAACTTAAGGGGTAAATATACACCACCTTACCGTTACGCCATTTTACTGTTAATTGGGAGTCAACAAGGTTGGCAAATAGAATCTATTGAACTTCAAGGTCAAGCTGAAGAGAGAGGGAAGGAGGAGGGAGCTGAGGTGAACAGTGAGTCATGGAGAGGGAATTTGTGAGGAAGAAGCTGCTGTAGCTGCTGGAAGCTCAACAGGTGATTCACCGTTGTCATAGTTAACCTGTTGCCTCATTATGTTCACTACATTGATCTATTGTTTGACAGGAAGAGAATATATTGTATATATTACCCTTCACCCCCTCACCCCAGGTTCAGTACCTGTCCTCAGGTACTGAACCTGGAGAGATCTTGATGCAGTCTTGTATTATTGTTTATAAATAACTTAAATCCTGAACAGAATTATGACACAGATTTCCTTGTTTCAAAATGTTTTGTCCTGTTCTCTCATCTCTAGTGAATTGACCAGTTATGTACCCTGGGGGTCCCCTCAAGGGAGGTTCCTTGATGCTGGTGAGGGGCTCTTGATTTAGGGAATTGGAGCTGTGCTTCAGTTCCCTGAATTGATTCTGAATACCTTATATCCCTCCCCCCAACGTGCGCTGTATAATCCTACGGGTTTAGCGCTCCCCCATGATTATAATAATTATATACCTAGTGTTGACCTAATAATAATAATAATAACTTCAAAAAAGTACATTATACAACTGATATAGAATTAGTAGACTGTTGATATACTTTATGGAAAGTCCCCTGATTATATAGACTTTTCATGCAAAACTTATAGCTACTGGATGAAAAATATTGTTCATATTGAGTTTAGTGGTTAGTTTTGATTGTAATAATAATTTATTCAAGTTATTGACCCCAGAGAGTTAGTAACCAAGTATAGCTCAGTAAAGCCGCTGACTTTATTTCTGTTTGGATCTTTTTGTCCTCTTCTGTAGGATGCCACCCACAAGTCAGCTGATACCTAAGGTACCTACTTACTGTTAGGCAAACATTAGTAGGTGCAAAAGAACATCCCTAATGTTTCCATTCGTCCCGTGAAGTCATACCCAAGTCCTTTGGTTGTGAGCTGATGGTCCTACCACTTAGAGCCACAATCCATGATTTCATATGGGTAAATTAGATGGGATTACGTATGAATATATTAAGTTTTACAGATTTAGGTCTTCATCATGAGTATAATAACAGGTTACATAACTTAATACTTGATTATGTATAGGTTAGAGGTGAATAGGTTCAGTTTGCATAGATGAGTTAGAGTTAAATACATATGGATAGGTTGAATTAGATTAGTTAAGCATAGGCTAGGTATCCATCTCCAGATTCTAGTGAGGACTCTTAATCCATAGAATTAGGGCTATCTTCCTCTTCCTTGGATCAAACCTGATTACCTTCCATCCCCAGGCACTGTATGATTCTGATTATTAATCAGGAGGATTTGTAAATCAGAATATCCCAATAAATCCACAATGTTTGTCATATTTTCAGTGAAGATAAGATTTTGTTTGGATTTTTAACACCAAAGGGTTAGCCACCCAGAATAACCCAAGAAAGGCAGTGTGTCATCGGGGACTGTCTGTCTTATTTTCATTGGGGTCCACAGTCTTGTCCCCCAGGATGCGACCCACACCAGTCAACTAACACCCAGGTATCTACTTGCTGCTAGGTGAACTGGACAATAGGTGTAAGGAAACACATCGAAATGTTTCTACCCCGCCGGGAATTTAACTCGGGCTCTCGGTGTGTGAATTGAGAACTTTGCTAGCCAGGCCACAGGGCCACCACTGTACTTTGGTTCTCTTTCCTGGGATGCCACCCACAAAAGTCTTCTAACACCTAGTTACAACTAGGCAAACAGGGGCAGTAGGTGTAAGGAAACATAATTTGCTAATACGTATAAAAAATATTGTAAAAATTTAAAATTAGGTATGAGGCCTTAATAAATACCTACTAACTTGTGCAAGAACTACTCTTGGATAATTCAGGTAAAAGTCTGAAGCATTAATGCTTGAACCATGAGCCACCTATATGATTGTAACAAAGATTTGACATGGGTGGCATAGGTTTTTTTTATTTGTTAAGTATGGTTAAGTTAAATTAATAAGGTATGGATAGGTTTGTTTCAGAATTGATAGCTTACAGTGGGTTTATACATTGCTTCTTTGTCCCATTTTGTGTGTAAATTTGAAACCTTTTCCAGCACCCTTATGGGCTTCCTTTGTCTTCCCTCCTCTCTGACAGTGCCACATTTACTGCAGAAATCTTGATTTTTCTGACATTGGCTTGCTTTATCAACTGTAACCATATTTTCAGTTAGTGTTCTAGCCCCAACACCTCCACTCTCCCCCTCCATCTCTTTTTACCCTTTGCTGTGCGATAACAAAGGTACAAGTTTAGAGCTTTCCATGAATATACTGTAAAAATTTGTAGAAATTTTAACCTATACTCTCCCAGAATTAATAGGATTACATTTATGTACTCAGAAAATTAGCCGGTGGCCCAGTGGCCTGGTGGCTAAAGCTCCCGCTTCACACACAGAGGGCCCGGGTTTGATTCCCGGCGGGTGGAAACATTTCGACACTTTTCCTTACACCTGTTATCCTGTTCACCTAGCAGCAAATAGGTACCTGGGTGTTAGTCGACTGGTGTGGGTCGCATCCTGGGGGACAAGATTAAGGACCCCAATGGAAATAAGTTAGACAGTCCTCGATGACACACTGACTTTCTCGGGTTATCCTGGGTGGCTAACCCTCCGGGGTAAAAAATCCGAACGAAATCTTATCTCTTATCTTATCTGGCAAAGTCAAAGTTAGAGTTTTAAGATCACCAACATCAGGCAGATTTGGTGACTTGTTAAAATATAATCATGAATTATCCAACACCATGATTTAGGTTTATCATAATTTAAGTTATGTTAATGCTGGTTGATTCCCTCCTCGCTGACGACCCCACCTTTGAAACAAACACTCTCTTTGACTTTTTGTTAGCAACAGCATTATTTTGCCTGGAGTATACCTGGTGAGGGTTCTTGGAGTCAATGCCCCCACGGCCTGGTCTGTGACCAAGCCTCATGGTGGATCAGGGCCCGATCAACCAAGCTGTTACTGTTGGTCACATGCAACCTGACTTACAAACTACAGCCTGGCTGGTCAGGTAATGACTTTAGGTGCCTGTCCAGTGCCTACTTGAAGACAGCCAGGGGGTCTATTGGTAATCCCCCCTTATGTATGCTGGGAGGCAGTTGAACAGTCTTGGGCCCCTGACATTTATTGTGTTGTCTCTTATTGTGCTAGTGGCACCCCTGCTTTTCATTGGGGGGCTGTTGCATCATCTGCCAAGTCTTTTGCTTTCATAGGGAGTGATTTTCATGTGCAAGTTTGGTACTAATCCCTCTAGGATTTTCCAAGTGTATATAATCATGTATCTCTCCCACCTGCATTCTAGGGAGTACAGGCATTCCCAGTAATTGAGGTGTTTCATCACATCAACTTTGATCATACTGTATAGTGGTACCTCGGCATACAAGGTACCACTATATGATTGAATTTGGGTATGGCACTTAGTTATAATTATTATAATAATGCTTATTTATAATTTTACTAAATTTAAGTATGGGAGACCTTTTCACAAATAGGAAAATATATGTGACTTTCCCTGACCTGTCAATGACTTGGGATATTTAGTAAGACAACTGGCATTCTTCTATTAATAAATGTCATTTACTTTTTACAGTTCTGAAGTTTATTTTGGATGCTGGTACAGGCAGACCTCACTTTACAGCGTTTCGCTAATGTAGAGGTTTTCAGTAATACACATTCTTCATTTATTCAGATTTCCTACCATAAATATATTCACTACTCACTATAAGGTAAGGACGAAAATATTTTAAGGTAAGTAATGCATATATTGTATGCATTTTTTATACCTAGCTCTATTGTTCACTTAACCCTTTGACTGTCACAACCCGAAATCCTGAAGTGTCTCCTGGTGTCGAAAAATTTTTGGAAAAAAAAATGATTTTTTCTCATGAAATGATAGAGAATCTTTTCCCAATGGTAATGACACCAAAAGTACGAAATTTGGTCAAAAATGTACGGAATTACGCTCCTGTGAATTTAGTGATCTCGGCGATGTATACGCATCGGCAATTTTGCCAACTTTGAGCCCTATTTTCAGCCAATTCCATTGTTCCAATTGACCAAACTCATAGCTATTTCTTTAGAACTCCATTTTTTCTATCAATAGAGTACAAGAAACCGCCCATTTACTGATTTTAACTACCCAATAAAGTGGTCAGAATTTGGCAATTTGGCCAATTTCACGCAAATTAACCCCTTCAGGGTCGCCAGGCCCTCTCTGAGACTTGTTCTCAGGGTCGCCAAATTTCCGAACCCCCCCCCACAAAAAAAAAATTACATATTTTTTCTTATGAAAAGGTAGAGAATCTTTTCCCGATCATAATGACACCAAAAGTATCAAATATGATGGAAAACTTACGGAATTATGCTCTCGCGAAGTTAGTGGTCTCGACGATGTTTACGCATCGGCGATTTTGCAGACTTTGAGCCTATTTTCGGCCAATTCCAGTATACTAGTTGACAAAAAGCATAACTATTTCACTAGAACTCCATTTTGTCTATCGAATGAGTACAAGAGACCACCCATTTACCGATTTCAACTATCCAATACAGTGGTCAGAATTTAGCATTTTGCCAATTTCACACAAATTTCAAAAGATGCCAATTTCCAGATAGGGTCCAGAATAAACAAGAAAGACATTCCTGGCACTAAAATAACATTTCCTCTGTTCATTAGTCACGTCCCCAAGCCCCTCTTACATTCTTTTGCTTTCCACTTTGAATTTTTATTCTCACAAAAAATAGAAGATTTACTGTTATGCAGACTACTGCATTAGTGTAGAAATGGTATAAATAATATCGCAGCTGCTAGAAAAATGACAGGATGGATAATGAGAACCTTCAAAACTAGGGATGCCAAGCCCATGATGACACTCTTCAGGTCACTTGTTCTATCTAGGCTGGAATATTGCTGCACACTAACAGCACCTTTCAAGGCAGGTGAAATTGCTGACCTAGAAAATGTACAAAGAACCTTCACGGCACACATAACGGAGATAAAACACCTCAATTACTGGGAGCGCTTGAAGTTCCTGAACCTGTATTCCCTGGAACGCAGGCGGGAGAGGTACATGATTATATACACCTGGAAAATCCTAGAGGGACTAGTACTGAACTTGCACACGAAAATCACTCACAACGAAAGCAAAAGACTTGGCAGACGATGCAACATCCCCCCAATGAAAAGCAGGGGTGTCACTAGCACGTTAAGAGACCATACAATAAGTGTCAGGGGCCCAAGACTGTTCAACTGCCTCCCAGCATACATAAGGGGGATTACCAATAGACCACTGGCAGTCTTCAAGCTGGCACTGGACAAGCACCTAAAGTCGGTACCTGACCAGCCGGGCTGTTGCTCATACATTGGTTTGCGTGCAGCCAGCAGTAACAGCCTGGTTGATCAGGCTCTGATCCACCAGGAGGCCTGGTCACAGACCAGGCCGCGGGGGCGTTGACCCCCGGAACTCTCTCCAGGTAAACTCCAGGCACTTGTGAAAGAATATTAGACTCACTAGTTGACGTGTATTGGATGCTTAGCATGATTTATTAACTTTTGAACGTTGGTAAAAATCGAACATTTCTGCTACTTTGAGCTCAATTTCAAGGTACTTTTCATTGTGAAACTAATCAAAATCACCTCTATTTCTGTAATATGTCTTCCATTCTATAAAATGAGATCAGGAAAACTAGAATACAACAATAAATACCATACGAAAATACAGTGCAAAGTCGCTGTTTTAATGCAAAAACACGGTCAAAGTTTTTTTTCTCATTACGCACTGTGTGCTGCAGGATTTTTTTTATACTGTGCACACTGACCGCATAGACCCATTCTTTCATATGTAGGCCTACCAGCTTTCTCTCACTAGATTTGAGGGCGCTAGAATTTAGGCGTACTAGTACGTCAAAAACCCTGGTGCGTAAGCCGTACTAGTATGGCCGAAACCCTGAAAGGGTTAAAAAAGATGCTTTTATTTTGATTTTTTATTCACACAAAAAATAGAAGATTTACTGTTAAGCAGACTACTGCATTATTGTAAAAATGGTATAAATAATATCAGTGCACTAGTGAAAGAATATTAGACTCCCAATTGACGTGTATTGGACATGTGGTGTGATTTGCTTACTCTTGAACGTTGGTAAAAATCGAAGATTTCTGCTATTTTGAGCTCAATTTCAAGGTCGTTTTCATTGTGAAACTAATCAAAATCGTCTCAATTTCTGTAAAATGTTTTCCATTCTATCAAATGAGACCAAGAAAATGAGAATACAACCATAAATACTATAGGAAAATACACCTCAAAGTCGGCGTTTTAATCCAAAAACACGGTCGGAGTTTTTTTCTCGTGCAATGCATGCTGCAGGATTTTTTTTATGTGGTGCACACTGACCACACAGACCCATTCTTTTACATGTGGGCTTACCAGCTTTCTCCTGCTTGATTTGAAGCCTCTAGAATTATTGAGTATATATACACCTACCATCCGACTTACGACCTGCTCGACTTATGACCACTCGACTTATGACCGTGTTTTTTATGCCAAATTTCTGGGAAATAAACAACTATTTGTGTTGTACACAGTGTTTATCCTAAACCTTACAGTATAAAATAGAGTACTAACAACATAAAAAGTAAAGTAAAACATGAAATACCAAAATAAAACAATAAAATAAAGTCATTACAAAAATGTTTTGTTGATATTCAGTAGTAAAGTTCGACTTACGATCAGTTTCTCGGAACCGAACTCGGTCGTAAGTCGGATGGTAGGTGTACGTCCGAAACACTGGCTCGTAAGACATGTATACATATACTGCTGAAACAGTCAAAGGGTTAATATATAATGGTATAAACGTGTTATCAGGCTTTTATGTGCACTAGACAGTGAAAAAAGGCTGTGTTCCATTTTACAGTGATTTTTGCTTTACAGCAGTAGCCCAGAACCTAACTTGCTGTAAAAGCGGTGCCTGCCTGTATCTGTTGTATACCATATATGGTAGTCTTGTTTGAAACTATCCAGTTTGCTGTTATTTTATATATTTTGGGGGACTTGTAATGTGATATATGTACAGTGGACCCTCAGGTAACGATTTTAATCCATTCCAGAGAGCTTGTCCTTAACCGATTTTATCGTTAGCCGATTTAATTTTCCCCATAAGAAATAATGGTAATCCAGTTATCCGTTCCAGACATTGAAAAGTATTTTTTTTTTCACATGAAATATACAATTTCCTACACAGAAAACAACAATGATACATGAAGAATAAATACGTACTACATGCAGAATAAATACTATATGAAGAATAAATGACACTTACCTTTATTGAAGACTTATTGATGAGTGATGATGGGAGGGAACATGATTGAGGTGTATTATTCTTTGAAAGTGGAATCCCCTTCCATAAGGACTTTAGGTAGCAAGTCCTTTTCCGGGGTTACTTCCCTTCTTTTTTTTAATGCCACTGGGAACAACTTGACAGTTACTGGACCTCTGTCGCACCAAAAATCTGTCCATAGAGCTCTGTCATTGTCATTGTAAAAGTCACTAGCACGGCTTGCAATAGCTGTGTCAGGGTGATGATCTTCCATAAAGGCTTGCACCTTTGTCCACATTGTACAAATGTTCTTAATCGTTTAAGAAGGCAACTCCCTCCATCTCTCTCTCCCCTCCTCTGAAGCAATTTCCTCAGTTGTGGTCTCTTGCTGTTGCAGATGGTCTTGCAGCTCATCAGTGGTTAGTTCTTCATCGTCATCCTCTATCAACTCTTCCAAATCCTCCCCACTAACCTCCAACCCCATGGACTTCCCCAGTGACACAATAGATTCCACAGCTGGTATAGGCTCCTCAGGGTTAGCCCCAAACCCATCAAAATCCCTCTCTTGTACACATTGTGGCCACAATTTCCTCCAAGCAGAGTTCAAAGTCCTGCAAGTCACTCCCTCCCAAGCCTTACCTATAAAGTTTATGCAACTGAGGATACTAAAGTGATCTTTCCAAAACTCTCTTAGGGTCAATTCAGTGTCTGAGGCCACTTCAAAGCACTTTTGAAACACTGCTTTGGTGTACAGTTTTTTGAAATTTGAAATGACCTGCTGGTCCATGGGCTGGAGGAGAGGAGTGGTATTAGGAGGTAATAACTTCACTTAGATGAAGCTCAACTCTCATGCAATTCACTCTGGCAAGTCTGGAGGATGAGCAGGAGCATTGTCTAATACCAGGAGGCACTTGAGGTCCAATTTATTTTCCAGGAGGTAATTTTTCACAATGGGGCCAAACACATGATAGAACCAATCATGGAAAATGACCCTCTAGACCCATGCCTTACTGTTTGCCTTCCACATCACATACAAATTAGCCTTGATGACACTGTTTTTCTTGAAAACACTGAGAGTTTCAGAGTGATACTTGAGTAGAGGCTTCACTTTGCAATCCTCACTAGCATTACTACAAAACATTAGAGCTAGCCTGTCTCTCGTAGGCTTGTGTCCTGGCAGTAATTTTTCCTCCTGTGTAATGTAGGTCCTGTTTGGCATTTTCCTCCAAAACAGGCCTGTTTTGTCACAAACACTTGTTGGGGTTTTGATTTTTCAGTGTCTATGTACTCCTTGAATTCCTGTACATATTTTTTTAGCCGCTTTTTGGTCACAACTGGCAGCCTCACCATGCCTTATCACACTGTGTATGCCACTATGATTCTTAAATCTCTCAAACCAATCTTTGCTGGCCTTAAATTCACTAACATCACCACTAGTTCCAGGCATTTTTTTAATTAAATCATCATGCAACTGCCTTTCCTTTTCACATATGATTGACTGTGAAATGCTATCTCCTGATAATTGTTTGTCATTGATCCACACCGATAAGTCTCTCCACATCTTCGAGTATTTGCGATCTCTGTTTTGTAAGCATACTTGCACCTTTTGCAACAACAGCTTCCTTGATTGCCTTTCTGTTGGCCAAGATAGTAGTGATAATTGATTGGGGTTTGTTGTACATCCAGGCCAGCTCGGAGCCACGCACTGCACTTTCATACTTTGTGATTATCTCTTTATTCAGTTCGATTGTACACCTCACCCTTTTTACCACAGGGTTGGCACTAGAAGCTTTCTTGGGGCCCATGGTGGCTTATTTAGCAGTTACAAGCACTAAAAACAATGGAATAATACAAAATGTATCCAGTGTATGCATGGAACTGTCCACAGTGGCTTGTTAACAATGGCACACTAGCTGAAGGCAGGGCAGCTGAGGAGTGCTCAGGCCAGATGGACAGGCGGATGCATTCAGGACGATTGTCCTTAACCGGGTTTTTCATCGTTGGCCGAGCCAATATTTTTACGCTAAAACGCATCGTTAGCTGATTTTATTGCTAGCCAATGTCATCGTTACCCGAGGGTCCATTATACTAATATGATGTATACCCATATTGGGGATAGGCAGCCCATGACCAAACTTTCCCTCAACTAAAGAGAATATGTGCATGTTGATAGGTTAATTTTATATGCCAGTACTGTACAGGTTGACCATCACTAATCCGACAGTCAGTTATCCGGTTCCATCAGTAATCCGACACTGATTTCGGCTAGCATAATTTCAAGTTTCGTCATTATACTGACTCATATTGTTTTACTGACTCAAATTTCATCATTATACTGACTCAGAAATTGTGCAGATAGTTGTAAATCCACAGCAACAAACCAGTAGAGGAGAAAGCAGTGGTGAAAATGAGGAAGATGTAGCAGAAAGAGTCTCTATTGATAGGTTAATTAAATGTATTCTAACCTGTAATGTATTCTAACTCTGTAATCTGGCAAACTCACTAATCCAGCACACTACAGGTCCCAGTTTTTTTTTTTTTTTAACGAGTTAATACTTGAGCCATTTTGTATACCTGAAGTGTACCTGGAGAGGGTTTACGGGGATCAATGCCCCTGTGGCCCAGTCTGTGACCAGTATATATATATTTATATATATGTATCACTATTTGTGCCACAGGACATTGAGTTGTGATATATTTCAGAGAATCGGTGCTAGATCAAGACAGTCATCCCTTGTGCTGCATCTAGCCAAGGTATGAATGATGGAGTGTGGAGAGACTGATTCCATGACCATCATTTCTAGAGTAAGTCTGACTGACAGATTGAATTTTCTTCAAAATATTATTTTTTCCAGTTTTGTGAAATTTTGTACTATGCATATACAATATGTACAGCATTACTATGCAAGGAAAAAAATATAATATACTTTGTGAGATTTAATGAATTTGAAGCTTAATTGTGAATTTTTTAGTAAATTTTTGTGACTTTATAAGCATTGAAAATGTAATTAAGCTAACAAAAAATGAGATAAAGTAGAAGATAAAATTCGATATACAGTACAGTATAACCCTGTTAAACCAGATATCAAGGTCAAGAACTTTACAGATCTACCAAATTTTGGATGCTACTGTATCAAACAAATAAAAGATACTCCCTAATCCTTGTAGTAGTTGTCCTCTTTTGAATATTAAACATTCATATGATGAAGAACATTTAAATACAGTATCAATATAGGGTTAGGAGTGGGAACTTCATAATTACAGTATAATGTATACAGTACTGAAGAATGAGTGGCAGCAGGTAGGATGGTCAAGTGTTGGCAAGCTATGGCTTTTGAATTATATGTGGTTCTTTCACTATTTTAATTATACAGTATATAAACAGTGCAATATATGCTGTACATTACTTGTGGCAGCACGTATCTTTCTTACATTGCACTGTTTAAGTACTCTGCATCTCCCACCCCCCACACAAACACAAAAGTGTGAGTTATATGTAGCTTTCATGCCACAGGTTATCAGTGGTTCAGTTGAAAATACATATGGTACAGTATTAACTCTTGAAGCTGTTTGATGTAGGAGCTACAGATTTAACCCTTTGACTGTTTTGGTCGTATATACAGTGGAACCTCAAAAATCGAACGTATCACATATCGAACGTTTCAGAAATAGGACCATTTTTTCGGACAAACTGTGTCCCTATTATCGAACGCGCCCCTATTTTTGGACCGCCGGGTACAGGACCTGTCTGCCGCCCGCTCTGTCCGTGTCCCCGCGCAGGCGCCGTGAGCAGTCTAGCTTTGTTTATGCTTGAGTGAACACTAACCTGTGCTCTCATTCACTCATTTTACGATTATTTTGTTGTGTTTAGTGCTTGTGTGACTGTGAAATAAGCTGCCATGGGCCCAAAGAAACTTGCTAGTGGTACCCCTGTGGTAAAGAAAGTGAGAAACAGCATAGATGTGAAGAAGGAAATAATACAGAAGTATGAGAGTGGTGTGAGACTTGTTGAGCTTGTCAGGATGTATGGGAAAAGCAAGTCAACCATTGGTTCTATCCTGTCAAAGAAAGAACAAATCAAGGAAGCTGATGTTGTGAAAGGTGTTAATATAGGGAGTGGATGAGGTGCCTTCTTCAAAGATTAAGGAGATTTGTGCCAAGTGGAATGATGTCCAAATGTTTGTGCAGAAGTACCACCCTGAGCAAGCTGAAACAAGCCATCTTTGCAACAAGTTCAGTGACAGAACCATGTCCCATTTTAGGGAAATGTTAAAGAGCTGCCAGAAACAGAGGACTGTGGACAGTTATTTTGTGAGACAGGGGTCCAGTGACTCAAGCTGGTCCTAGTGGCATTAAAAGACAGAGAAGGGAAGTAACCCCAGAGAGGGCTTTACCTGAAGTCCTCATGGAGGGGGATTCTCCTTCCAAACACTAACCCCAACTCCCTCTCTCCTCCTCCCTATCTTCCAGATGCCATCACCAATCTTCAGTTAAAAACTATAGTATTTGTTGTATGTAAAACTGTAATTAATCTCTATAAAATGTATTTTTTGTGTGAATATTTTTGGGTTTCTGGATCGGATTAGTTGTATTTCCATTATTTCTTATGGGAAATATTGCTTCGAATTTCAGACTTTTCGAATTTAGAACTAGCTCCTGGAACGGATTAAGTTCGATTTTTGAGGTTCCACTGTATACGTCTTATGAGCCAGTGTTTCGGACATATATACAGTGGACCCCCGCATAACGATTACCTCCGAATGCGACCAATTATGTAAGTGTATTTATGTAAGTGCGTTTGTACGTGTATGTTTGGGGGTCTGAAATGGACTAATCTACTTCACAATATTTCTTATGGGAACAAATTCGGTCAGTACTGGCACCTGAACATACTTCTGGAGTGAAAAAATATCGTTAACCGGGGGTCCACTGTATACTCAATAATTCTAGCAGCTTCAAATCAAGCAGGAGAAAGATGGTAGGCCCACATGTGAGAGAATGGGTCTGTGTGGTCAGTGTGCATCATATAAAAAAATCCTGTAGCACGCAGTGCATAGTGAGGAAAAAAAAACTCCGACCGTTTTTTGGATTAAAATGCTGACTTTGAGGTATATTTTCGTATAGTATTTATTGTTGTATTCTTGTTTTCATGGTCTCATGTCATAAAATGGAAAACATATTACAGAAATAGAGGTGATTTTGATTAGTTTCACAATGGAAATGACCTTGAAATTGAGCTCAAAGTAGTGGAAATGTTCGATTTTTACCAATGTTCAAGAGTAAGCAAATCACACCACATGTCCAATACATGTCAACTGGGGAGTCTAATATTCTTTCACCATTTTTACAATAATGCAGTAGTCTGCATAACAGTAAATCTTCTATATTTTGTGTGAATAAAAAATCAAAATAGAAAGCAATAGTAATATAAGAGGGGCCTAGAGACGTGACTAATGAACAAAGGCTGTTATTTAGTGCCAAGAATGTCTACATTGTTTATTCTGGACCCTATTTTGATATTGGCATCCTTTTTAATTTGCATGAAATTGGCCAAATTGCCAAATTCTGACCACTTTATTGGGTAGTTCAAATTGGTAAATGAGCGGTTTCTTGTACCCAGTTGATAGAAAAAATTAATTTCTAAAGAAATGCTATGAGTTTGGTCAACTGGAACAACGCAATTGGCCAAAAATGGGGCTCAAAGTTGGCGAAATCGTCGATGCGTATATGTCACCGAGACCGCTAACTTCACGGGAGCATAATTCCGTGAGTTTTCGACCATAATTTTGTACTTTTGGTGTCATTACCATTGGGAAAGGATTCTCTATCATTTCCTAAGAAATTTAATTTTTTTTTTTTTTTTTTTTTTTTTTTTTTAAATTTTTCAACTTAGAATGACAGTTTCAGAAAGGGGCTGGCAACAGTCAAAGGGTTAAACATTATTTGAGATAGCAGCTATGGAAACTGCATATTCATTATAAAATTGTTTTAAAGTCAGGAATAGTTCTCTTCTTCCTTAATGCAGAAAGCAGGTGACTATTGTCTCATCCATTGCATCAACTGTACATTTTAGTTCAGGCAGTGAGTGTCTTGGGAGGCCTATAATGCACTGCTTACCATAAGGGAAACAACCTTTGCCTGGTTGGAAACAGTCTGCCACTCCAGAGGTCGGATGGGATTCAGTATGAAATATTGAAGCATCTCATGCTGCAACCATGGTCTGTTTTGTTGGACATGTATCACTGTGTTTTAAGTTCACCACATTCTCCCACACAGTTGTTAAGCAGTGTGAAAATTGTGATTTTTTTTTTCTTTCAGTATGCTTGAAAGCAAACTAATCTCTCAACCATTTGTTTCTGCATTTTTAATACTGAATATTCATGTTTTTTTGTGTAACATGTTATATGTCTATTGCATGCATATGTAGAAGTATGTATTTCAGTGATTAGGAAGGCTGATGTAAACAATGTTTTGAAAATAATGGGCTGAAAGGAAAAAAGCAATTTTATGCCTTTTTTCTTTCAGCACAATTTGCACACTAGTGTGCATCCTTTCTGGTGTCAAATATGTAGGACAGATAATTAGATAAAACTCGCAGCAGTTTATGCATAGTTTTCACAAAATTTGTGTCTACAGTATTTTTTTAATAATCAAACTATTGCATTATTTTCTTAGTTATGGTAGTTACTAAAATTTTTTTTTACATTATTGCAGCAGGAGGGTTATGACTATGAGTTTGTACCTCCCCTTGATTCCAAGTATGAGTGTGCCATATGTCTGCTGGGACTCAGGTCTCCAGTACAGACCACTTGTGGACATCGCTTTTGTAAAGAATGTATCTTCAACAGCATTAGGTGGGAACTCACACTAAATGTGGCATGTTTCATTTTCAATTTATTATATGATTTGAGAAAGTGTTGATTTTTCTGCAGTTGTTAGGTACAGTGGATCCCCGAGTTTCGTCATTAATCCATTCCAGAGAGTCTGCTGAAAATCAAAATTCGCGAATTTCGAAACCATTTTCACTATAAAAAATAATGTAAATCTAATTAATCCGTTCCACTCAAAAATATTAACAAAAGTTATTTTTTTATAGATTAAATATAGATTTACATACAGAAAAGAATGAGAAATCAAGTATAAAACAATAATAACATCACACTTACCTTAATTGAAGACTCTTGTTAGTGTATGGAAGACGGGAGGAAGGGAGAGGGTTAGGGTGATGTTCCTCCACAAATGTTTGCATCTCACTCCACTTTGCACAAATGTCCTTAATCTTTGAAGAAGGCGACACCTTCTCTCTCTCTTCCTCCTCCTCTGAAGCAATTTCCTCAGCTGGTGTACATAAGAACAAAGCAGGAACACTGCAACAGGCCTGTTGGTCCATACTAGGCAGGTCCTTCACAAACCATCCCACTAACAGAATATTTGCCCAACCCAATTTTCAGTGCTCCCCAGGCAATAAGCTTTGATGATTCTAGTCACTCATGCGCAAGTCCCACTCAAATTAAATCGTGTGTGTAGGGCAGTACCCTGGCTGGTGTGTTCTTTCTTGAATTCTATCATGTTTCTCGCCTTCTTTACCAAAAGGCTGGCACTAGGAGCTTTCTTTTGTGTCATGGTGGCTTATTTAGCAGTTGCAAGCACAAAAAACAATGGATTACACCTACCATCCGACTTATAACCTGCTTGACATACGACTGCTCGACTCATGACCATGTTTTGTATGCAAATGTTCTGGGAAATAAACAACTGTTTGTGTTTTACACAGTGTTTCTCCTAAACCTTACAGTATCAAATACAGTACTAACAGCATAAAAAGTAAAATAAATGAAATACCAAAATAAAACAATAAAATAAAATCATTACTTAATGTGATGCCGATATTCAGTAGTAAGGTTCGACTTACGTCCATTTGACTTACGACTGGTTAGTCGGAATCATGCTCGGTCATAAGTCAGATGGTAGGTGTATTACGAAATTTATCGTATGAACTCATGGGGTTGATGGTCATTCGCCAAGAAACAATGCCACACTGACTCTGACCCTGATCCTGTCGACCCTCTGCCTGTTGTGGAATGCATTGTGGCTTTGGGGAAGTCCATGGGGTTGGATGTGAGTGGCCAGGATGTGGAAGAGTTGGTGGAGGACCACAGGAAAGAGCTAACCACTGAAGAGCTGCAAGACTTCATCTGCAACAGCAACAGACCACAGCTGAGGAAATTGCTTCAGAGGAGGAGGACAAGAGAGGGAAGAATGTGCCTTCTTCAGTGATTAAGGACATGTGTGCAAAGTGGAGGGAGTTGCAAAGTTTTGTGGAGAAATATCACCATGACCAACCTCAAACAAACCATATCTGCAACATGTTCAGTGACAAAACCTTGTCCCACTTCAACCAAATCTTAGAGAAACTCCAGAAACAGAGCTCTCTGGACAGTTTTTTTTGTGCAACATGGGTACAGTGATTCTCAAGCTGGTCCTAGTGGTAGTAAAAGACAAAGAAGGGCAGTAACCCCAGAGAGGGCTTTGATACCTGAAGTCCTTATGGAGGGGGATTTCCCTTCCAAACAATAACCCCAACTCCCTCTCCCCTCCTCGCCTTCTTCCATATGCCAACAAGAGTCTTCAATAAAGGTATGTAATGTTCATTTATTAGTAAAATTAGTGCTATATATTTCTTATTGTTTTGTGTATGTAAAATTATAGTTAATCTTTAAAAAAATTTATTTTTTGTTAATATTTTTGGGTGTCTGGAACGGATTAACTGTATTTACATTAATTCTTATGGGAAATATTATTTTTGTTTTCAGCCTTTTCGGATTTAGGCCGACCTTTTGGAACAGATTACTGCTAAAAACCGAGGGTCCACTGTACTGTGTATTTCATTTAATGCATGTGTAGTGGGTCTGCATTTTTTGCTGAAAATTGAGCAAGAAATTATATTTATTTTGTGAAATTTGTAATGAGGTTTGATTGTACCTCACTTTTTTATACAAGGACATTTGGATTTTCTTTAGAGTTTGGAGAGTTAATAATGAGCATTACTTTTTGTTTTCTTCATTTTTCCAAATGTATTGATTTTTTGTGTCTTGATTTTTTGGTCATTTTGGTATGTTCATTTTGAGAAGGGAATGAGCAGAAAGTTAAAAATCAATCCAGGTAATGCTGATATCAAAAGAGAATGCTCAAATACATTTTGTATTTGATTGATGTAGTAATGCTACACACTTTTGGGCTGAAATTATTTTGTTATTCAGAATTTTGAGTATCCGGACAACACCCTGTCATGTTAGCTTCAATTCAGGTAATCAAATGATTATTCTGTACACATATATTTCCTACTAACTCAGTAGATTTGACAAATACCACAAACTATTTTGACAAACTAAAAGAGATGCTTAGTAAATGAATTCTAATCCATATATACAGTATGCACATTATAATCCCTGGAGAGCTCAGAGTTTTTGAAAGTGCTTGACTGTATACTTGATAATGTACAGCTGCAGCATGTAGGATAAAAAAAAATAATCCTTGCACATAAGTAGTATAGGACAGTCACAGAAGATGGGATAAATATCTTTCATATAAGTTTATTATATGACTACCTAATATATTATATGGTATAGTATGACATACAGTAAATTTTCCCGAGAATGAAAAATCCCGTGGAGCGTGTAAATTTGGCAGTTAGTGAAAAAGGGAGTTAAGTTTCATGGCAAGTTGGAGGAGTTGTTGTTGATGAAAGGGAGGTAGTAATATCTTGCATTAGGCAAAGAGGAGTAAGATCTGGTAAGAGTAAGGAAGAACCAGAGGTGGTGTGGGAAGAGTGCCGAAGGCATAGAATGAAAGGGGGGTAAAGCAGCTGGGTCAAGACGGGTGAGACTGTTTTTGGGGTGGTTGGTGTATTTGTTCAATATGTGTGTGAAAGAAGGGAAGATTTCCTAAGGCTTGTCAAGGATAGTATATGTGCCGCTTGCATAATTACTTTATTTAAAAGAAAAGGGGAAATAAGGAAGTGTAAAAATTATAGAGAAATAAGCCTGTTGAGTATACCAGGTAAAATGTATGGTAGAATTATTATTGAAAAAAGTTTGTAATGAGATAGAAAGTAGGAATGCATAGGAACAAGGATATAGGAAGGATTAATTGAAGATGATCCTGGAGTCCTTGCCTCTGTGGCCCAGTCCCAGACCAGGCATCCATATTGATGGCCTCATCAACCAGACTGTTGGTATTAGTTTCTTGCATGGAGTCCAGTTATGCATCATAGTCTGACTGATCAGAAACTGACTTGAGAGATTTATCAAGTTGGTTCTTGAAGACAGCTAGGAATCTGTTGGTAATTCTCCATATGTATGAAAGGTGTTGAAATTAAAGTTGTGATTGACAAGCAAGAAAAGATTGTATTGTTTTTTTAATTGTAATAAAAGATTAGTTTCAGGGAGATACTTGATGTAAATATGATTTGACTAATTATGTATGTATATGAAACTTCCCATTTTTTTAGTTCATTATGCTACAGTTCTTTATTTCATCTAGTAAACTGCATATTCCAAATTTTTGGACCATTTATTTGGATTGATAAAGAACTGATCAACAAACAGAGATAGTAGAGGGCAACGAGTGACTAGCTCCCTTAAGGTTTACTATACAAATAGTAGGAGTCTAAGAAATAAGATAGATGAGCTAAGATTACTTGCAAGTGCAGGTAATACAGTGGACGCCCGGTTAACGATATTATTTCATTCCAGAAGTATGTTCAGGTGCCATTACTGAACGAATTTGTTCCCATAAGGAATATTATGAAATTAGATTAGTCCATTTCAGACCCCCAAACATACATGTACAAACGCACTTACATAAATACACTTACATAATTGGTCGCACTGGGAGCTGATCGTTAAGCGGGGGTCCACTGTATAGATATTATTGGTATAAGAGACCTGGGAAATGCCTTCTGAATGCAACATACAGGGTTATAAACTATTTCACACTGATAGGGTCAACAGGAAGGGTGGTGGAGTGGCGATGTATGTCAGAGGAAATTTAAATTGCTGTCTTAGACATGATATAAGATTAGAAACATCGAACACAGAATCTGTTTAGCTACAGTTTCTCAAGGGACGTGACAAATTAATTTTGGGTGTGATTTATAGGCCTCCAAACCTTGATAGGGAGTGCAGTAAGCCGTTATGGGACGAAATGCATAAGGCATCTAGATATGAAAATGTTGTGATAATGGGAGATTTTAACTTTAGACAAATTGATTGGAACAATGACAGGAAATCTTGAGTCTAGTGACTTTCTTGATACGGTTCAGGATTGCTTTTTAGAACAGTTTGTGAAAGAGCCAACTAGAGGAAACAATCTGCTTGACTTGGTTCTTGCCAACAAAGATTCACTAATTAATAATCTTGAGGTTAATGATGAGCTTGGGGAAAGTGATCACAAATCACTTAGTTTCAATATATCATGGAATTACCCAGATAACTGCAATCAAATCTCTGTCCCAGATTTTCGCTTGGCCGACTTCATGGGACTGAAAAATTACCTGGGTGGGCTAAATTGGGATATCCTGACTATGGGTCAGGTAGGTGATCTTGGTTGGCAATATGACGTTTTTCAGAGCATAGTTCTAGCTGCCCAGACAACTTTTGTTCTGAGTAGGGAAATTAGATCTAACAAAAATGATCCCAAATGGATGAAAAAATAGATTAAACAAAATCATTGGTCAAAAGAGAGGCATATATAGGCGTATCAAAAGAGGGGATGGGCAGTTAAGAAATCAATATATTCAGTTAAAGAGAGAAATAAAGAAAGGAATAAGAAAAGCAAAAAGGGATTATGAGGC